CCAGTGAACACAGTCCACTGTAGTGATAAATTTCGATAAAGCGTCGCCTTCTTTAAGCGCGCATATCCGCCTACCACAATAAAGTTCCTGCCTTGGTGTTCATCACAGATTTCAGTTCATAGGATTTTACGCAAGATCCACAGGTTTGTTTGTTTGATTGATTTTGTAGTCCTATTTTCAAGTCACATGTTCACAAAGCAGTGTCTAGTTGTTAACATTCCGTTTGTCCCATGGGTGGCCTGTACTTCATTAAAAACGTAACGAGACGGTTGAAACAACGAAAACCAAACGAAATCAACAAAACATGGGAACCAGTTATCACAATTAAAAGCTAACCCTTAGGCTCTTACAGGGGGTTATTCAACCGAAGTCCAAGAAGACTGTATACCTGATAATACCTGCAGTCCTGCACTCGGGTTGGTTTGAAGACAAACCGAAAGGCCCCAAAATATTGCTTACGTTAGCCTGTTGACGGTACGTCAGCGCTCACTGCATGACAATGGTCTCTAATCACGATTTCGTTGGTTTCGTTTCGTTTCGCTCGTTCCGGTCGTGTCGTTCATTGTCTCGGGTTTTTGTACATACAGTCGTCATGAGCATCTGAATAAGAAAGAAGTCAGTAGTTTCTGGGGACGTCGCCCGCGTTACGCTTAAGTTGAGTCAACTCAGTCGATTTAAGTTTGGTTCAACGTTAATTTTGTTCTCTTTAACCATGTTGTACTTCTATTTTATTTGACCTTTTCAAGTTTTGGTTCTTCCTAACGTGGCAGATCTGAGTAATCGGATTGATTTCACTTCATCCACATTTTTCCAGAGCGGCTTTTGGGATCGATTTAGGATGTAGAGGAATCTCACTTGACCGTTTTTTCTTTTTTTTCAGAATAGATTCACGGTTCACATGCAACGCAATGCAAATCACAGGGATGTGCGTGAGAATAGTCTCGAATAACTGTGGCGAGAGCAAACTAAGCGTCAAGCGATCGTGTTACGCGTCTGTTGAAATCCTATCCGCAAGACGATCCGACTAGTGAACGTCGCCCGAATTCCGACGATTCCAGAAAGCTAAACTTTCTGGACGTATTTCTCCCCTGGAGCAAATCAATAAAGCCCTTTTAGCCTGCCTTACTCACTTGTTTTAGATCGCAGAGAAATCCACTGCTTACAGGCATCACTCTAAAAGGCGTCACGATAAAAGGCATCACGCTAGAAGGCATCACGCTAAAAGGCATGACGAAGAAAAGGATCACGCAAAAACGCTTCATGCGAAAAATCATTACGCTTAAAAAGGCTTCACGCTAAAATTCATAACGTTTTAAGGCATCCCGCGAAAAGGTATCACGCATAAAGGCATCCCGCCAAAAGGCATCACGCGTAAAGACATCACGCGAAAAGGCATCGCGCAGAAAGGCATCACGCGAAAAAGCATCACGCTGAGAGGCATCACGTAAACAACAACAACAACAACAACAACAACAACTTTATTATGACTCGCATATTTACAGTTTTGCAGAAATAGGTACACATTAAGTTAAAAAAGCTTGACAATAGCAATAGCGCAAACCCGCAGATGGCCTGGGCTAATCTAGGCGGGCCACATATATATTTATGTTAGACCATTATATAGCGTATATAATAGTATAATCACGTGAAAAGGTATCACGCTTAAAAGCATCACGCGAAAAGGGCATCACGTAAAAAGGCCTCACGCAAAAAGGCCTCACGCAAAAAGGCCTCACGCAAAAGGCCTCACGCAAAAAGGCCTCACGCAAAAAGGCATCACGCGATACCTTTTTGCGTAATGCCTTTTCGCGTGATGCCTTTTTCGTGATGCCTTTCAGCGTGACGCCTTTTCGCACGATGCTTTTTTACGTAATGCTTTTTGGCATGATGCTTTTAATCGCGATGGCTTTTCGCGTGGTGTCTTTCAGCGTGATGCCTTAATAATCTGTTGTTACTTTCATAAAATGAAACTCTCGGTTTCGCGTGATTCGTTCACTTGCTCCGATTAACGCAAGTATGCCAGTAGCGTGACGCTCGTACTATAACTCGTGCTTTAAATAAATTGTAAAGGAAACATAATACAAGCGTTACTCTTCCGGTATCATTACGAATTAATTCGATTTGGCCTGATGCCCTCACAGGTGGAGTACGCTCAGTATGTAAGCTTCAAAATATCGACATACAGTGTAAGAGTTCAACCCTAATTTTAAAATATACGGAGCGTAGTTAATAATTAGTCATGACCTTCGTTGTAAGAGATTGTATGAGAAATACTACAGTCGCTTTAAATTGCACGAAGTTACACGATAAAATTTCCCTTTAAACTCAACTTAGTTGTCTTCTTGACCTTTCCTATGATTTTACAGTGCAAAAGCTTCTTAGCGGTGGGTTAAGACCTTTTGTGAGCAGGTTGGTTTTCCACCCCAAGAAGCGAAGCGAAGGTTGGAATCCCTCTCAGGATCGAGTTCGCTTTCGGCGGTGAAAAAAACCCATTAATTGTTAGTTTTCAATCCGCTTGTAATTTTTATATTTGTCTGTGTGACTAAAACCCGTCATTTCAACGTTTTAGCCTGTTATTTGTTGCCCAAAAAAATTAAATCGAAAGCGACTTGTGCCAGGGTGGTTGGACACAAAATCAATAGCACAAACTGCCGTCAATTCAACGTTTTGTGCCTGTCTTTCATAACAAAATTTATTGTAACCTGCGAGTTTCGAGAACCGCCATTCACAGGAACCTTACATTAAACGGCAAAGAATTGTTACAAAAGAGTGTAGCGATAGTCAACCTGTACCTCGTGTCCACGTGACTTTGGTCCCGTGAACAAAAGGCAAAAACTAGTGTAAAAAGGCCATTCTTGAAATACCAGTTCCTCTTCAGTTCACATTGACAGTATAAACATTAATAATTAGATCAACAGTACTAAGAAATAAATTATTTTATTTATTTCTTTACCTAGATTGATCAATAAAAGATTACTCTCGTGGCAAGCGCAACACCAGCAGCTCCATCCACCAAAGAGACGACCAACTACGCACGCTTGTGTCGTCTCCTGGTTGATGTTGGTACCCAGGCCCTCAGGGACACACTTGATGCCATTCACGCACCAGCAAATCTCCACGCAGTTTTGGCGGCAAATAAAGCCATTTTACAGGGTCTCAGAACGAGAAGAATTATCAATGCTACGCAATGGGGAAAGCTCTTTCCTGTCATTCCTTCTGCAGTGTCTTCAAAAACTTTTGACACTACTCTTTTGATGGTTCTCTTAAGAAACTTGTGCGGCTTACCTTCTCCAATAACCGGATGGGACACACTTCCCGCTGCAACGGACATGAGTCGTGAGGCGGATATTGCTCGTATTAAGTACTTTAGAAACACCGTGTACGCGCATGCCGAACAAGCTTCGGTTGATGACACAACGTTCAACGCGTACTGGCAAGACATCCGGGACACTCTGGTGAGGCTAGGAGGAGTTAGGTACAGGGCACCTATTGACAATCTGGAAACTGAGTGCATGGACCCTGAAATTGAAGATCACTACAAACAACTTCTTAGTGAATGGAAAAAGGACGAGGACAACATAAAAGATGAGCTAAAAGAGATTGGAGCCGAGATTAGAGATGTCGGAACCATGATGACAGATGTCATGAAAAAACTTGATGATTTAACAGCAGCAACTGCGAAAAACCGAGAGGAATCAAGTGAAGAAGGTAGGTTTTAATAACACTAAGATATTTGTCAGTTTATTTAGATCAATTCCATTTAATTGTATTACTAATCGTATCTATTACAAACTTCTCGATCGTGATTGGTTCTCCGCGCGCCTATTGTTACGTAATCGGCGCGCGATCACGTGGGTGTCCAATAACAGGTATTCAATTTGAACTTTTTGCAACTGGAAACCTGTAATTGGATACCCACGTGATTCGCACGTCAATTACGCGTGCTTTAATGGCTTCCTTCGCACTGTTTCCTACAATTTTCTAAACTTATGAAAAGCGCTACACACGTGTTCGCTCAAAACACATTTTTCATTCCGAAATTAGTTATAGATACGATTAATTAGTAATTGGACCTCATGTCGTACAATTCAGGGTGAAATCGTGCTCGTAATTTCAAATCGTCTACGCGCTTCGCGCTCGTCCAATTTTGAAATTACTCGAGCGACTTCTCTCTCAATTGTACTCCACTGGGTCGACTTAATAATACTTATCACGTGTGTTTTCTTTGTTTACAAACTCGCCTAAGGCTCTTGTGTATACGTAGAAAATCCAAGTTTGAAAGTGACTCGTAAGAAATTTCATGATATACCACGAGAAAGCGTTGCTATTTGTATGCGGGTTCAGACCAGTTAGGACCCCGAGGCGTCTGTTGATAAAAAAAAATTACATTGCAGCGTCAATTCGAAAACCCTACAAATTTAGCAATGGAAAGTAAACACTTGTTTTGCTTTATCACTAAGCGTAAGCGAATATTTTAACTCTTGTCTAATTAACCTTTTTATACCCGTTGTGCTCGATAAGGTACAAGCTCCAAAGTGGAAGAATCGGTGGAGACCTCTGTCATGTGTAGAGAGAAACATCACGGGAATGAGCCTCTCAATTATTACTGTCAGGACTGCAAAGTTTGCATTTGCGACAAGTGTGGACAAACACGTCATTCAAATCACACCAAGGTGAATATCAAGCAAGCCGCCGAAGAACAAAAACTAAAGATGGCGGAGCTTGTGCGGGAAATGAAAGTAGAGATTGCTGAGCACACGACCCAGATGGAGAAAACAACAGAGATGTTGAAGAAAAACGGAGAGAAAATTGCTGCGGCTCGTAACAAAGTGTTAACCACTGTTGAAGAACTCA